CCACAGTCTCCTACATAGGTAATCATCTCATCCCTCTTCCCATTGCAAGATGAGCCTGTCTTGTCTCCAAAAGGAGAGGACCTGGGAAGCAGGCATTTTATAGTCCAGGAAGCGTCACTGGACCATGGCCCCACAGTGAAGACACAGTATCTGGGACCAGAAGAAAGCAGTGAAAGGCCAGGACACACATGCTTTGTGGGTGGGAGCAGAAGAGACGGCAGGTTCTGAGTGCTTTGGACGCATGGCCTCCTTTCATCCTCATTTCAACTCTGTGCTTTATCCCATGTTCTAGGTGGGGAAACAGTGGCATGGGGAAGTTATTTGCTCAAGGCTGTCCAGCTAGTCAGTGGCAGAGGTAGTGTTTGAACCCAGAGCTGCCTCCAGAGATTATGCTTTTAACCACTATGCTGCCTCTTTCAATGTGGTGTATCTCCAACGATGGAGCCAAATCGGGGCATGGATAACCGAAATGGAAGGAAATCCAAAGTTCTTGTCCATGTGCAGTGCATCCTGTGATGCTTCTGCAGCACTTGTTCCTTCCCAGCAATGATTTTCTGATGCCAGTATCAATTTGGTGTCCATTTTCTCAGCCCACGTCTGTCAGTGAGTGGAGGTGCTGCGGCACTCAGGCCTGGGTACTGGGAGCCTGGGGTGCACACAGGACCTGCCCTGGGATGGCCAGAGGAGAGGCCCATCTTCTGAACACACCCCCAGAGTGGGGAGTTGGAAGTGGGGAATCCACTGTAGGATTGGGGAATGGCGAGGGCAAGGCTCCCACCTGCAAAAACACTTTCCCTTCCAGGGAGCCCACCCTGGGTGGTTCTGAGGAGCTGGACAGTAAGAGGTTTGGTTTGCCACTTCAAAGAGAGCCAGGAAACCCTTTCTCCAACCCCTTACTTCTCAACCACTCAGGACGCAGTCATCAGAGAAATAAGGGGCAGCAGGTATAACCAGGCTCCAGGTCAGACTGATTCTGTAAGAAGAATATGATTTTCCCCAAACCTCCCTTCTCCATTACATCCTTAAAACCCCTATTACCAATGGTTTCCAGCAACTGAGGGAGAGGGCAAAAACAGAAGAGAGGTGAGACAGAGTGTCAAACCCCTACACTCCAGAGACTGTTGGGAAAAATATTCCTCCTGGGACCCAACCACTTGGGGATGTGGGGACCAGCAAGGAGCACCTGGGCCTTGTTTCCGGGCAAGGTGTGGTCCAGGTGGGAGGAAGGGACTGTTGAAACGGTGGGAGGAGGGCACAAAGGGACAATGGGGACGGAGGCCTGAAAGCTGGCCCTGAAACTGTCTTCATGGCCCAGCTGGAGGACTGAGGGGCTCTGGGCATCAAGGGCAGGAGGGTGGGAGGATGGGGCAGGGTGAAGAGCTGCCTTCTTAAACGGACCCTGTTTACCCCCCTAGACATGTGCCCTCATCCACTGCATTCAGCTCTGTGTAAATCCCCCAGAGCTGTGTGCACAGGAGCTCTTGGCAACAAGGGACCTGGTTGGTTTCTGCAGCCCCCCAGGTAGTGTGCCACCAAAGAGAGATGTCAGTCTAAAGCCTGCAGTAGCACAGCCTGCCGAGGGCAAGTGTGAGGCACGAGGCCTTAACTCCAACAGAGCCCAGCCAGTGCCAATCCAGTGGGATCCAGCGTGCAGCCATGGGCGGAGGGGGCTGTGGTCACGAAAGAGTTGACTGTCTTCTGCTTTCCTTCTGTATGCATGTATATATACAAAGAAATCCGGGAAAAGGGGGACCAGGGGTGCACAGCCAGGTGGTCGACAGGGTTCCTTAAGGTCTCAGCCCTTCACCCTGGTGCGCCTGCTGATTAATTGTGTGTGTTTCTCTGGTTTTCAACACCAAACCTTTGCTCTGCTCTGTCCATTTCTTCCTTTTCCTTTCTCCATCTCAGAGGTGTTGCAGACCAAGGCCAACTCGCCCATTTTGTTTCAGGTCTCTGGTGAAGATTCCAACTCGCCCGCCTTTCCTAAGCACTGACACTCCCCTCTTCCTCTCGCTCCTGCTCCCACACCCAAATAATGTTTTCTTGCCCATTTTCTAGGCTGGTGCAGACAATTCCCGGATTCTGTTCTTGTTTCTCCCTTCTCTTCCTTGACTTCCCTGCCCTTCCCTTCTGAAATAGCTCTACCCACAAAGATGGTATTCATATGGAGAGAGTGGCCCAGTGTTTTCCAAAATCTAATTTAAGATTTATGCATAGCCATAGTTCATTTGGGATCTTCACTCCTTCCCTCCCCCCCAAATCACCATTCTCCTTTTGCCCTGTGAATGACATCTGAGAACCTGGGAGGAATTGGTTATTTCCTGCTAATAGCATGTGGCTTAAATGGAAGAGAGAAGTCTGTTTGCCTCACAGGCTCCACTATATTCAGAAAAATACCCTGGGAAGCCAACAAGACATTCTTGATTTGAAGCTGACCCTCACCTCACCCACGCCCTGGTCAACTGATCTCTACTTCCCCAGTCCTGGCTGTCCTGGCTCGTCCAGAGTCTCCATAGTGGCGTTTCTGTTTTCTTTTGGCAGAAATGCCTGGGAACTGAAAGGCCCCTTTCCCTGTGACCTGACCTCCCTCACTAAGAATAACAGCCCTAGGACAGCATGTCTTTTGGTCCCTCTGGAAAGAGGGCATGGCTGGGAAGTGGGAAGTTAAGGGAGCTGGATAGAGCCAGGAGGAAAGGGAAGAAAGCAGATTCTTGGCCTTATGAGTAAGAAATGAAAAGGCAAAGTTGGCAGTCTTCTAGTAAGCTCAGGAGAGATCTGGGAACCTCTCGGGTCGCTTCATGCTTTCCTACCCTACTCTGACCTCTAAAATTCCACCTCCTGGAAGCCCAGAGAGCAGGAAAATGCTGGTCCCGCTGAACAAATGTGGCCAGCCCTGTCTTGTCCCCATTGCAGACCATTTCTAAACTAAAGGCATAAATGTTTCTTCTTAGAGTAGACAAATGTGTAGTAGTAGATTCTTCCCCCTCTGCCCATGGGAATATGACTGCCTGTACCTGGGGGTGTATGCAGTCACAGAACATTGCTCTGCAGGCTCCTACACCTCCCAGACCCAAGAAATCCATCCATCCAGGACACCTGGGGTCCCATGGGGCCTCTGGACAGCCCATTTCTTGATTGACCAGTTGTCTGAGTACATGAAAAAAGTCTTTTAAGAACATTCATCACTTCTCTTCTCCAAATATGGTGAAAAATAAATAAAATCCTGCCTGCCCTCCCTTGTGTAGGCTTTAGTGATCCCTGGAACGTTTTTGACTGCCTCATTGTGAAGTCAGGACACTGGTCTTCCCTGTCTGTGCCAGAATCTCTCCTTCAGGGCACTACTGCCTTCATCCTCCACTAGGCAGCCAGCCTCCCCCAGCCCATTCCTAGCAAACCCATCCTCAAGGCTTTGACCACTGCATGCCCTCTGGGTGCCTTTTGCATTCAGCAGGACCCTACCTTAAAACGATCATGAAGAAACCTGGGGAGGTGCTTAGGAAGCCTCAGAAAGCTCTGTCTAGAGCCACATAACCCACTCACAGACTAGGAGCCCAAGCTTGCCTCTGCCTCCTTTCCCTTAGGAAAGTCTTTGCCAGGGTTGGAACGGCCCCTGGAAATGCTGGGACGTGTCCAGTGCAGGAACTAGGGTTACCCTGATTTGATCTGCAAGAGTTGCGCTTCATGTGGATCCTGTTTTAATAATTTGGTCCTTCTTTTATTTCTGAGCTTTATATGATTTTATATATTATATAACCTGCACCCTGAGGCCCACACTGATGGCTGTGGTTTTCAAAGCCTTTTTTATTACCAGCTTCACCCATAGGACTGAGCCCAGTACCATCTGAGGGGTGACACCCCTGTGTTCCCTCCCTCTAGATAGGCCTTTCTGCTGGAAGAGGACTGGGGATGCAGGAGATGCTGAGCGTGGACTGAAAAGAGAGCGTAGTAGCCACAGCCTGCCCCCTGGCGACTTGCACCACCCTGTCCCCACACCCCTTCCTGCTCCTGGTGGAAGGTGAACAGGGCCTCTATGGAGGAGGGATAGGGTGGGTGGATCTGTAGGATGCTGGCCATGTGACTGAGGGAACTCGGGCACTAGGGTTAGAATGTCGCCTCCCTGCTGCTCCCTCCCTGCTCAGCCTCCAGGGCTCTGGGGCTCCTGGGCTCCTGGGCTCCTGGGCTCCTGGCCATGGTGAGGGCGTCCGGAACTCCAGAGGCAACACGGAGGTGCCTGGACGATGATTCTGATGGTGGTGTTGCTCTGTGCTTGTCTGTCTAATATTCCTTTTTAATCCCCATCCTGCCTGCCCTCCCTTATGTAGGGTTACTTTAGTGATCCCTGGAATGTTTTTGACTTCCTCATCGTAATTGGCAGCATAATTGACGTCATTCTCAGTGAGACTAATGTGAGTATTACTCTGCCCTCCCCAGGAAACTCCTCCTTCCTCCTCCTCTGCCTCCTCTGTTTCTCTCTCTCTCACTCTCTCTGTTTACCTTCTTTTATTTATTTTTTTAATTTCCTGTTTTTACCCGCCTCCAGTCATGCCTTTTATTGAACCTGCCGTCGTCCTGTGGGGAAAAAAAGTGGGAGCTTCTCCTCCTTTTTTTCCATTTACCTCAGCTCTGCCCAGCTGTGCTGGGCTGGGGCGTGGAGCTGAGCAGAGAGTGGCGGTGCAGGGGACACACCGCCTTGTGTCCGGGCGGCCACAGCACCACGCCACCTTGGAACTAACCCAGCTTTTGTTAGGCCTCTGCACCCTGTGAAAACCAGGGTCTCCAGGTTTGAGCCGCCAGAACTGTAGAGTGGTAAAAGAGTGTTTAATATGCCCACGTAACCTCTTTCTTTTCTCATTTTTTTTTCTCTTCTCTCCCTTTTTCCATGCCTTTTTTTTTTTTTTTTTTTTTCATTTTTCCTCCTCCCTTTTGTTTTGTTTCTGTCCTTTGTTGTTGGTTTTTTTTCCTTCTTCTCTCTCTCTTCTCGGCTTCTCTGCCCCATGCAGCACTATTTCTGTGATGCATGGAATACATTTGACGCCTTGATTGTTGTGGGTAGCATTGTTGATATAGCAATCACCGAGGTAAACGTAAGTACATGGCGTCCGTACCTAACTGTCCGTGCCTGCTCTCACGCTCATTTGTCTTTCCCCGTTTTTTTTTTTCCTGTATTTATTTTCTCTCCCCACCTTCTTAATTTTATTTATTTATTTATTTATTTAATGTGTTTGTTTGAATTGGTTTGAAGGTTTTTTTTTCCTTGTTGCTTTATTTTGAAATCTTTTTTTTTTTTTTTTAACTTTGGAACGCATTAGGCCTTCCCCTTTTCTGTTAAGTTCTGATTGCTGCATCTTTTCTCTCTCCCGTACAATCACCCTGGCATGACTCACACTGTATAGGAGGAAGCAGCTCTGGGAGTTGCGGAGCGAGAACATGAGGGGATGTTTACCACTCTGGGCAGCTGCTGGGGCAGGGACCCAAACCTCTTCTGGCCTCCACCTTCTCCTTCAGCCACTGCCTGTCCTACTCTCTCCTTTCCCTCCCCACAGCATCTTAGAAGGGAGCTCCCTCAAAGTGGAACACCCTGAATTAAGGCTAGGACTTAGCCTACTTCATCGGCCGTAGTGCACCCTCGCCCCAGGACCACCCGTGATCTTGGGTTGAAGGGGCTCTGTTTCCATTTAACACCAGCAGTCCCTGCAGGCATCTAGGTCCCTGAGGCTCATTTGGAAGAGGAATGAGAAGAGGACAACCAGTCATGTTTGGACTCTTCTCTAGAGGTGGTGGGTGATCTACTGAGAGCTCTGGGTGGACTTTTCCTCCTAGTTGCTGTGAAAGCAGCCCCTATGTGAGCACCTCACTCCCACAGGCACCTGCTGCCCCTGCCCCCGACCCCTGACCTCTCACACCCTTGCCTCTGGCTCCCTGGCTTCAGACACAACCCCAGCCTCTGCAAGGCCTCCTGCCGCCTCCTCCTCCCAAGAGGTGTCTCCTCCTATACAGTTCCTACAGTTCCTGCACATGTCTTTTCTGTTACCTGGCATGTTGAAATCTCTCTTTATCTATAGGCAAGCCCTCTTGCGGTCAGTCTTTAACATGTGTTGTTTAATTTTTTGTCGTTATTTTTCCTTAATTAAGAGACTTGGTAATGTTTACATAGACCTTTGATGCACTGAACCACTGAACAGCACAGAACAGATGCTTTAGAGTTTTGATCTAAGATGTTTGGAACTACCCAGCCACCACCCCCAGCTCCTCCATGCACCCTTACACCTCCCTCCACTCCATCTTTTGCCCCCAGTGAGTTACACTACCATGTTATTTTGCCTGCCTGATTCTTCCAGGTTAGAAGCCCCTGTCTGCTCCACTTCCAGCAAATGGACTTTGGAAAGCGGTTGTTACATTTGTCATATGTCCCCCACTGTAGCCTGGTGCCCCAACCCTGCTCACCCTATAGCTCCAGAGACCATGGCCCCTGTCTCCCTGTGTCTCAGAGAACTGTTTTTGTCTCGTGCGTGTGCATGTGTGTGTGCAGTGTGTGTATGTGTGTACATGTCTGTGTGTGAGCATGTGTATATGTGTATGTGTTACATGTCTATATATGCATATATGTGTGTGCATGTGTGTATGTGTGTATGTCTGTGTGTGCATGTGTGTATGCGTGTACATGTCTGGGTGCATGTGTGCGTGGGTATATGTATGAGTGTGTGAGCATGCATGCGGGTATGTGTGCGCGTGTATGTGTGTACATGTATGTGTGTGAGCATGTTATATGTGTACATGTTAGTGTGACCACATGTGTGCGTATTATGTGTACACATGTATGTGTATACATGTCTGTGTGTGAGCATGTGTGTATGTATGTGAGCGTGTGTAAGTGTGCACATGTGTGTATGTGTATACATGTCTGTGTGTGATGTGTGTGCATGTGTGTAAATGTCTGAGTGTGTGAGAGCATGTGTGCGTACATGTGTGTGTGCATGTGTGTGGATACGTCTGAGTATGTGTGAGCATGTGTGTGTGTGTGTGCGTGTATGTGTGCATGTGTGTACATGTCTGAATGTGTGTGAGCATGTGTGCATGTGTGTGCACATGTGTGTGTGCGTGTGTGTGTGTGTGTGTACTCTCCTTTAACTTCTTGCAGTAAATCCTCAGGTCATTTTTAAAAATCGATCTTTCTACTCGTGCTCTGAGTCTCCCCTCCCCTCTCTGAATGGACCCCAGTGTTGCAGCTGGATGAGCCCCAAGTTGCTGTTCCCGCTCATGCACATAAAGGCCAGAGCTTCTGTGCTCAGAGCTTGTGCTATGCAGTGCTCAGCCCTGGGGAACACTGCAGGGAGAGAAACGGGAAAGACAGGGCAGCGGTGGGCTCTGCCCTCAGGAGGTTTCCTTTCCAGACAGCAGTGCAGAGCCACATGAAAACCTATGCAGAGGGGCCAAGAGCCCCACAGCAGGAAAATGTAGGAAAGTGACAGCAAGCTGCCCGACTATGCAGAGGCACCTGCAGCTCCTGGGGTCCTACGGGTTTTTCTCACAGTGGGCAAGGCCTCTATCATTCAGTCTGCCATTTTCTCCCAAACTATTCACGTCTTTAAAAGAAAAAGCAAAAAAGCATTTTCTAGGATATAAAATTTATACAGAAAAGGGGGTTCAGTTGGGGGTAGGGAGGGGGCCTGAACCCACGCAGCAGCTCCTGACATTGGAATCTCAGTTTTCTATTTACAAGTCACTTTGCATTTATCTGACTTCACTCTTAACTACCCTTTGAATTTGACAGGTGAGAATTCTCATCCCCAACTTGCTGATGTTAAAGGTGATGATGGAGAGATTAAGTACCTTTCCAGTGCCTCAGAGTCAGCCCAGCCCTCCTGGGGCCAGCTCACTTCCTGCTAGGCCAGAATTCCTGGTCTCTGTACTCCAAAACACCTTTTGGCAAATAGAAATCTTACCTGTCCCTCCTGGTGTACTGCCACCAGCCATGACTTACTCAGAACTTACGTTCTGTAATTGATATCTTAAATAACCACAGGATTTTTTCCACTTTCTAAATAAGCAATTATCAGCCACCCTGAGAGTTCCATTGCCCCTGTGTTCTCCCACACTGAGATGCTCCTCATGGCTCCAGGCTGAGGCATTTGTGGCTTTGAAGTCCTATGAAGGATTGTTGGGGGACAGGGTGACAACCGTGCATGTGACTGAGAGCAAGAGGAGGTCCTGAGACCTGACACCTCTTTCAGAGCCAGTTTCTCCCCTCTCCCACACAACTGATGGCTTATGAACAAAAAGAACAAACATGACATCCCCCAAGGCAGGAAGGCGGTTTGGGAAAGGAGAAAGCTGGACTTGAAGTCAGAAAACTGGCAGCTTGTTGAGTCTTGCTGCTGCTTCCTGTCAAAGCGTTACCAAAATGCCCAAAGACTGTTTTTTCATCTGTCAGAGGAATGTGGTATTTACAGCAGTGTGTTTTGAAGCTCAAATAAGAGCATCTATTTAAAAACTCTGTATGAACTGGTAAAGCACTGTGGAATGGGAGAAACTGTGGCACCCAAGCAAATGACATTCTTTCTGAAATTACTGCTGGTGTCACTGGGAGGGCCTAGTCTCCAACCAAGAACTTTCTGTTCGTCTAATTATAACTTACAACCCATAGGTGAGAGCCCTGTCTCCCAGATATGCTTAGACTCATGAGATGTCCAACAGGTACAGCCAGATCAAAGCCAGCACACACACACACACTACAGCCAGCACACACACACCACAGCCAGTACAAACACACACACCACAGCCAGCACACACACACACACCACAGCCAGCACACACACACACACACACATACCACAGCCAGCACACACACACACACCACAGCCAGCACACACACACACCACAGCCAGTACAAACACACACACCACAGCCAGCACACACACACCACAGCCAGCACACACACACACACCACAGCCAGTACAAACACACACACCACAGCCAGCACACACACACACACCACAGCCAGTACAAACACACACACCACAGCCAGCACACACACACACACCACAGCCAGCACACACACACACACCACAGCCAGTACAAACACACACACCACAGCCAGCACACACACACACACCACAGCCAGCACACACACACACACCACAGCCAGTACAAACACACACACCACAGCCAGTACAAACACACACACCACAGCCAGCACACACACACACACCACAGCCAGCACACACACACACATACCACAGCCAGCACACACACACACACACATACCACAGCCAGCACACACACACACCACAGCCAGCACACACACACACACACCACAGCCAGCACACACACACACCACAGCCAGCACACACACACACCACAGCCAGTACAAACACACACACCACAGCCAGCACACACACACACACCACAGCCAGCACACACACACACCACAGCCAGTACAAACACACACACCACAGCCAGCACACACACACATACCACAGCCAGCACACACACACACACCACAGCCAGCACACACACACACACACGTACCACAGCCAGCACACACACACACACCACAGCCAGTACAAACACACACACCACAGCCAGCACACACACACACACCACAGCCAGCACACACACACACCACAGCCGGTACAAACACACACACCACAGCCAGCACACACACACACACCACAGCCAGCACACACACACACATACCACAGCCAGCACACACACACACACACACACACACATACCACAGCCAGCACACACACACACACCACAGCCAGCACACACACACACACACACACCACAGCCAGCACACACACACACCACAGCCAGCACACACACACACCACAGCCAGTACAAACACACACACCACAGCCAGCACACACACACACCACAGCCAGTACAAACACACACACCACAGCCAGCACACACACACATACCACAGCCAGCACACACACACACCACAGCCAGCACACACACACACACACCACAGCCAGCACACACACACACACCACAGCCAGCACACACACACACCACAGCCAGTACAAACACACACACCACAGCCAGCACACACACACACACCACAGCCAGCACACAC